TATTTTCCCTCCTTTTCATGTGTGTAACTCCCTCCTTTGACAGTGAGAAACTTGGCTGTCATTATCCACAATATATTTCCTAATGTGCTCAGTCCTAGAATTTACAGGAAGTGTTTTCAGAATTACTGATCCATATGTCTATAAAGAAGGAATCTACTCAATATTTGTTTGCAGTTCTTTTTGACTTTAGCCTGAGGGCATCTAGTCCAAATATAGTCCAAAAGTTACTCGGAATAATCCTCTTTCCACCCCTTCTGTCCATAAACTTCTATTCCTACCCCCTCTGTTTGGCCCCGTGTCTCATCCCTGCCCTTGTCATACCTGGTTTCTCAGGTCCAGAACCTCTTAGGGGTCGGGGCCAATGTATGCCCTTCCCAGTGGCATTTGGGCACCATTCCCCCATCCTCTCAGTGGCTTCCAGGTACGTTTACTTGTGCTTACCCTCCCTCCCGTTCTCTTCATGGCTAAGGCTGTATTCCTTTTTAAGCAGTTCTTTGCTATCATTCCAACGGGATGGTAGCAGGGAGAAGAGACGCTTGTGCTCCTGGTCTGCTGTCTCAGACCCGAGCCCTGGGGACCCCAGAGTCATCAAGGTCTGGGTTTACACACCGGGAGACATTGGCAAGCTCCCTGACCTCCCGGGTCTCAGGTGCTTCATCTAGGATGTGGGGGCGAGAAGTCCCACACCACATGGATTTGGCGAGGATGAACTAGACCTCGTATGTAACGTGGCTGACCCAGTGCCTGGCACCAAGTTCAGTACAGGACACCTGTCATTGTGGCCTGGGTGCTGCCGCTGTGCTCTCTTACTTGTTCACGTACTCATCTGGGGCCCCTTAAGTGCTGAGCACATCACAGAGTCCCTAAGTATAAGGGCAGAGACGTCAAACTCCCAGTGAGGTCACCCCCGCAAGCAATCCCAGAGCTGGCAGTGTTCTTGGCAAGAAGTGGCTTCTCCTCGCTTGGCTTCCCTTGGCCCCGGGATGTGCTTTTTGCCTGAGAGGCTGAAACTTCTTTCTTGGCCTTGGGTCAAACAGCCTGTCAGGGGAGCTTCCCTGAGCCGTGTGCCAGTGTGCCTCTGCTGCCCACTGCTTTCATGCTGAGGACACATGACCGTCTCTGATGGGAATGAGTGATGAGCTGAAGATTTTGGTAGAGAGAGGCCAAATCCCTGTGTGGCTCCAGGAACAAGGATAAATATAGCCAGAGTAATTGCACATGCTCTTTTAAGGATTAAAAGTCAGCTTTTGGGCAAGCTGTGAAGCTCCATGACCAGGATAGCAAGGGACACAGTTCCTTTTTTAGAGCTGTGGTCAGCACTCTTTGTGCGTTGCTGGATCCCAGGCCTCCACGATGCTATTCTCATTTGGCAGATGGATTGCCTTCGCTAGTCCACACTGCCTGAGGTCAGGGCTGAGGTGTTCCTGCCACATCCCTCACCCATCCAGCACTATGCTGGCACACCCAAGGTGCTCAATAAGATCTGCAGTCCAGCTAACAGTAACGTCCCAAGCCAATTTCCTGGTTTTGAAATATATTGTACAACAGTGATATAAGATATCACCACTGGGGGAAGCTAGGTGAAGGGTACATGGGATGCTATAATATTTTTGCAACTTCCTGTGTGTCTGTAATTATTCCAAAGTAAAAAGTAAAACCAAAATTTACCTTCGTCAGGATCCTGCCAACACTCTTTGACACTTGGGGGGAGCAGTGCTGGAAGATGAATTGATTAAATCCCTGTTCATGGCAATGCTTTTGTTTTGCTATTGTCTTTGAATGTAAACACATGATTTGTGCATATGATTCAAAATTTTAAATGTATACATAAGATATACAGTGGAGAGTCTTTTTTTTGTTTTCTGGAAACAGAGACTCACTCTGTTTCACTCTGTTGCCTGGGCTAGAGTGCCATGGCATCAGCCTAGCTCACAGCAACCTCAAACTCCTGGGCTCAAGTGGTCCTCCTGCTTTAGCCTCCCCAGTAGCTGGGCCTACAGGCGCATGCCACCACACCTGGCTAATTGTTCTATTTTTAGTAGAGATGGGGTTTCACTCTTGCTCAGGGTGGTCTCAAACTCCTGACCTCAAGTGATCCTCCTGCCTTGGCCTCCCAGAGTGCTAGGATTACAGGCTTGAGCCACCATGCCAGCCAGGTGGAGAGTCTTTATCTCAGCCACATAGTTCACCTGCACATGGGCAACTAATCTAAGTATTATTCATTTCTTGCGCTACTTTTGGAGAGATTGTATACATGCTCACATATAGACTTGTAAGTGAATACAAGAAATATATATTCATACATACATACATACACAATCTTTTTTCACTCAAAGAGTAGCAGTCAATAGACATTGTTCTGTTATCTTCTTTTGTCCACTTAATAATCTCTCTTGGAGGCTTTTCATATCAGTATACCAAGGGCTTCCCATCCTTTGTTGTGGCTGCACTCCATCTATCTTTATGGCCCCAAATTGCTGCCTATTTATGTTGTTTCCAATGTTTTTGCTTTTTTTAAACAATGCTGCAATGAGTAATGTGCTCATCTGTCATTTCCCAAGTGTGGGAGTGTGTTAGTAGAATAAATTTCTAGAAGTGGAATTGGGTTAAAGAGTGTGAACCTTATAATCTTGATAGTGCTAAGTCGTGCTCTATAGAACTTGTTCCATTTTACACACCCACCAGTAATGTGTTTTATGAAATGCTTGTGTTGGCCGGGTGCAGTGGCTCACGCCTGTAATCCTAGCACTCTGGGAGGCCAAGGTGGGAGGATCACTCAAGGTCAGGAGTTCAAAACTAGCCTGAGCAAGATCGAGACCCTGTCTCTACTGAAAATAGAAACAAATTAATTGGCCAACAAAATATATATAGAAAAAATTAGCTGGGCATGGTGGCTCATGCCTGTAGTCCCAGATACTTGGGAGGCTGAGGCAGGAGGATTGCTTGAGCCCAGGAGTTTGAAGTTGCTGTGAGCTAGGCTGATGCCATGGCACTGTAGCCAAGGGAACAGAGTGAGACTCTGTCTCAAATAAAAAAAAGAAAAAAAGAAAAGAAAAAAAAAGAAATGCTTGTATTAATGCTGTGCTTTAAACTAGTTATTATGTGACCCTTTGTTAGTCTAGTGAAAGCTATGGGCCTCTACCCACAGAAAGAAAAATACAAGAAAAGCACAAATCACACAATGTTTTACATACAATTTCAGTTGGCTCAGAGCCTCCTGAAGGCCATCCGTGAACCCCAGGTTAAGAGACCCTGGCTTACAGGGGAGGCAAAGTGGTGAAAAGGACAGAGATTTAGGGAAAAACCATCTAAGTTCACATCTCAGTTCTACCACTTACCAGCTGTGGAACATGAGGCAAGTGGTTTTACTTCCTCCAGCCTCAGTTTACTTTTTGCTGGAAAGGTTTAAGGCACTTGTGAGAATACATACGATGCTTTTATGTAAAGCATCTATAATATATAGTGCTAGGAACATTGTTGGAGCTCAATGTAAGACCTGGTTCCATACACGTGCACACACACACACACACACACATACACGCAGGCACGTGCACACTCACATGCACACAAAGCCTTAGGTTCCTTCTCAACCTCTGGTTTCCAGCTGTCCCTGTCATGACTGCTACTCGATCCCCAAGATCAACGTTTTGGGATCTTGGGGGCTTTGGGCTAAACATGGGGGCCTTGGGCAAAACACATTAAGAATCACCTGAAGGACTTAATTGAAATGCAGATTTCTGGGTCCACTTCAGAGTCATGGAACTAGAACTTCTGGAAGAGGAACCTGGAGCTTCATACTTGGGGATCTAATGCACACCGAAGTTGGAGAAACAGTGCTGAAGACTTTGGTAAATTCTTTCTAGACTCTACAATTCTAGTAGTTACCACCATGTAGCTTTGCCAGGGGGAGGCTGTACCTGCACATGGACAGGTGTGGACGCCTGAGAGAAAGCATGGCTAGTACCCAAGACAGCCTCTTCTGGTTTCATCTACAAATATATAATTATTTAGGACAGTAGCAGACTGCATGCACTGTGCCCAGTCAGGGATCTCTCTTATAACAACAGGGAGGAGAGACAGTCCAGAGCTACGTGCCTGAGGGAGGGGCAGGGATGGAGGCCCCATGGGCCAGGCTCTGTGGAAAAGGCCTGCTTCCACTGGGTGATTGACATGTGGCCAGGAGCTGGGGATGAGGGCTGTGCACAGCTCTGCAGCCATCGCCAGGAGGGCTTGAGGCCACAGGCCTTGGCGGTCCCATCCCTAATGCCTTCGACCATGACTGGTTAAGGTTTTCTGGGTGGCAAGTCATGGCCCAGGGTTAGGTTTCCCAGATTTAGCAAATAAAAATATAGGATGACCAGTGAAATTTGAATTTCAGATAAATAACTCATAATCTTTTAGTACAAGTAGGTCCCATGTTTATCCAAAATTTAAATGGGTGTCCTACAGTTTATCTGGCAACCCTGCACAGGGCTTCTCTGTGCTGTCTCTAACCCCAGAAGGGGCTGAAGTCCCCATGAGGGTTGCCCTAAGCTTGGAGCTCTGTGACCTTGGCCTTGAGTGGGCACTGCACTGAAATGCAGGTGAGGAACGTGCAAGGACAGGGTGTGGACCTCCAGGAGAGAGGCAGCCCTTCCTCTCCTGTGTCTGGGCAGGGGCAGGGAGCTAATTCATGCTGACCCAGCACTTAAGAGATGCCTGCACTATGCTAAACACTTGAACATTATCTCATTTATTCCCCCTAAAAACCTAATGAGTTAGATATTGTCACAATTACTCCCACTTTAGAGATGAGGAGACTGAGGCTCCGTGACGTTAAGGCCATAGGGCTGCTAAGTGGGGGAGCAGGAATTGGCACCCCTGGAGCTTGTGCCAACCCTGGGATTAGCTGATTCTCCCAGGCCTTTCTCCCTGGTAATCCCAAGGGTTTAAGGTGGTGGGAGCAGCCCCAGCCCCCAAATCCCCAGGACAGGAAACATTCCCAGTTTCTCTTGGCGCTGGCCCAGGGTCTTATCCCGGCTCACATGCTTGCTGGAGACTCCAGCCTGGGAGGCAGATCTGCAGAGTCCCCTTCGTCCCCATCTGGCCAGGACAGTGTCCAGCGGCATGAGCTGCCATGGGCACTGCCATCTGCTGTGGGGGTGTCTGTGGGAGGGGCCCGGGGGCAGGCCAGCCGGCCAGCTTCCCTGCCGTTAGCCCCCAGAGCCAGGCCAGAGGGGGCTCCCAGCGGAGCTCTAAGTCCCAGCTCCTCTCCGAGGAGGAGGAGGCGGCCGTGGGTTCTGCAGCCAGAGGCTGCTCAGCTCCGAGCTCTGGAGCCAGATGTAACGTTGACCTTAAATGGTAAAAGCTCCCCAGAGTGCAGAGAGGCTGGCCAGAGGAGGAAAGGGGAATAACTCAGTTTTAGGTAAGCCTTCGCTGCATCCTAGAATAACCTGCCTCTTCGGCTGGGAAGCAGAGGGAACGTTCTCCTCCTTAAAGGTACAGGGTGCTGGGATGGGGGGCGCTAAACTTTAACTTTCCAGGGGAGTCGGCTTTCTTGGGTGGCATTTTGGCTGAGTATTTTTGTTGTCATTGTTGTCTTAAGTTTTAAATAAGAAGTCAATCTTGCCAGTCCTAACTTAACTAAAGTGTGTTCCTTTTGCTTGCTGTTGGAAAGGCTGCACAGGTCAGGGTGAAAATGTGGGTCCCGGCAGGGGGTCGCCACTCCTAGCTTTCCTGTGGGCCCCTTTGTGGCAATAGATGGGTCCTCAGATTAGGCAAGCCTGCCAGCCAGGGCTTTGTCCCCTCTGTACTTCCTTATGTCTCTCCGTGTCCCCCTGTGCCCTGACCTTGAACCCGGTTTTGGCCTGACCTGTCTCCATTCTTGACTTGCCCCTGTTTCTGTCTCTGCCCCTCCATCCTGTGTTCTGGACACAGCCCCTGTTTTCAATGTGTCTCCCTCTCTCTTTTTGTCTCCAGCTTGCTCCCACCTGTGCCTTTTCCCTGCTCCCTAGAGGGGGGCCTGTGCCCTGGCCTGTGCCCCAGCCCTGCTCACCTCCAGGGCTCTGTGTTGAAACTATTCCTATAGTGGGCAGACTGGCTTTTTCCAAAGGGAAGGCCGGTGGAAGCCAGAGGCCAGAAAGAGGCCCAGCTGTCTTGCTCCCTGCTGCCCAGTGAGTGGTTATAAAAGGCTACAGAGGCTCTGGCGTTTGAGCAAACAGCAACTCGGGGTCTGGGACCCCTGGCCAGCACCCCGGCCTCCCGGAGCTCAGCAGCTGCTGTCCCCTGACACCCTTCAGGCTGCTCACTGAGGTGGCCGGGGGAGCAAGGCAGCCCAAGGGCTCGTCTGAGCTGGGTCTTTTGCAGGGAAAAGGAGGAAGCTTCCTAGGACTGTTAGGCTGGGGCATAAGGAGTCAGGTCCTGGGGGTGACGACATGCAGGTGGACTTACCTATACCCCAGCTGCCTCCCCCCCACCATACTTTTATGATGGCAGAAACTCAGGTTAAGTGGCTTGCCTAAGCTCATACCACCAAGAAGGAGCAGAGTTGGGACTCAAACGCAGGTCTGTATACTCTAACTCCAGTGCTCCTGCCCCTCGACACAACTGCGAGTGCAGGGTGTGCTTCTGCCTCCAATAGTGTCTTGTGATTTTTGACTCAATGGACAAAACAGTTGTCATTGTCATTTTGCTTGGTCCATGATTCATTCAGTGGTGTGTGTGTGTGTGTGTGTGTGTGTGTGTGTGTGTGTGTATGTTGGGGTTGCTGTTTGTAGTCACAGCTGCTGTGCCTTCCTCTATGCTTGGTGGAAAGTCCTGCTCCCTCTACGTTTGTCTGTGAGGGATAACTATGTGGTAATTGCTACAACATGATCAATTATCACAATAAATGTTTTCTGAAAGAAAATAAAAGAGCAAACATGTAGCTCTTACTATGCACTGGCCACTGTTCTATGCCCTTCCCAAACAGTAACTCAAAAATCCCACTGTCCTACAAGGGAGGGATTATTCTTACCACCCTCAGCTTGCAGGTGGGGGCATTTTAGTACAGACAGGCGGCATGGCTGGCATTCGTGAGAGGGCAGGGGCAAGCAGGGCTCCCTTGCACCACAGCTCTGAGGTTTTCCACAAGGGATTTCACGTCCCCCTCACAGCAGTGCTACGAGGGACGTGTCTTTACTTCTATTTTGTGGGCAAGGACACTGGGGGTACGAGATGTTAAATGGCTAGTCCAAGCCCACCCAGCCACCAAGTGACAAATCTGGGAATTTAAGTAGTATCTCAGGTGAGGAAGTTAGGGCCATGTGACACCTTCTACTTGAAACTGAATTCCTAGGGGGCGGAAGGGGGTCATAGTTTTGGGATGAGGGGTTCTGTGAGTCCGTGAGAAGCAGCGAGATTGTCTGCCTGATGGGCAGAGCTACACATGATGGGTTCTTGGCTTCCCAAAGAGCCCCACCTCTTCCCTCTAAATCCTGGTAAAGAAGGTGTACGGATGCACCTCACATCTCCAGCAGGAGCAGACTGAGCCCCACGAGGGCAGAGCTCCCACCTTCCTGTATGTCCAGCACCCAGCACAATGTCAGAAGCATCCTAAGTGCTCAGGATCATTGTTTTTGTATGAATAAGTGGACATAAGGCTTGTAAGGTGGCTTCTGGTTAAACGAGAGCCCGGGTTTATTATGCACATGTGCCTGCATGGTCAGATTCGTCTAGTCTGGCTTGAGCAGCAAGGTGGAGGCCTCAAGTTACCCACCCTTCCCACCCTGATGCCTCCTCTGGGCAGCCCCACAGAGCCTGGGCTGCCCCTCAGCCGTCCTCCCTGTGGCTTGGCACTCAGCAGAGGGCTTCTCTTTGCTGACCGAGGAGAAGCAGAGGCCTGGGTAGATGGGAAGAAGGGAGCTAGGAATCCTCGGACTCTGCCCCTGCCCCAGCCCCTGCCCCTTGGAGAGCCATTTGAGTCAGGGGAGGGAGATGGGGAACTGAGTTCTTGTGTAGTACATGTAAAAGGAAGGAGCGGAGGAAATTGATATTCGTTGAGCTCCTACTTTTTGCCAGGATCTGAGCTAGATCTGTTGTTTAACTTCATACTTGAGTCAGAGATGAGGACATCACGGTCCATGAGAGGCATACAGCTGAGAGGTGGTAAACAGGGGCTCCAGCTCAGGCAGCCTGGGTCTGAAGTGGGTACTTCCTGCACTAAATGTCACCCTGCCTCTCCTTAGTAACTCGGGTCTCAGAGGCAGTTATTGAGTGTCACAGTCCAAATCATGGGGAAAGTCACAAATTGAGGGAAAGGGGATGTCATGTTTGCTCCGTGGACCTTGGAGACCAGACTTTGAGTTCAGGCCACAGCCCAGGGCAGCCTCACCGATGGGCCTTCAAACCCAGGGCCTTGGCAGAGGCAACCCATGCCCATGACCTTGCACGAGCCCCACCTTCTCAGCAAGGCTTCTCCAGGGGAGATGGAAAGCAGGTGACAGTCAGAAAACCTTCTTTCCCAGCTGGTAACAGATGTATAAAAAAGTTTGCTAAGGCTGGGCTTAATCAGGTCTGGTTACTTTCTTTCTATGACTTTTTTATTTATAATTTTTATTCAGTTTTTTCTAGTAATAAAAGTAATGCATGTTCCTTGCTAAACCTTCTTGGAAAATATAGAAATGAATATAAATAAGAAATTCAGAAATAAATATAAAGAAATAAAAAATCCCTCCAGGATCCCAATACTCAGATATATATATATATTGTTGATATTATGGTATGTTTATTTACATCTCTCTCTATTTTATAAAACTAGGACCTTACTAGATAGGTGATTTTGTAGTCCACTTTTTTTTTGGCTGAACAATCTATCATCATGTTTTCATATCATTAAAGATTCTCCAAAACATGATTTTTTTCAATGGTTGCATAATATCGAGTCATTTTAGCTGAGCCACAGTTTAATCACCCTTCCTCTCGGGGTTTTGCAAATGTGGTTTTTCTTTGGGGACTGTCTCAGTTGCACACACAGCATGGTGGATTTTCTAAGCATTTCTAGCATTTGGAGACTCCTCTCTCTGAGGTGGGATACTGACCCAGCCTCAAACACATGAAACCACATTGTAAGAGCATTTTTGCTTAAGTTCTTTTCAGTCCTTTGGATCGAGGAGAAAGCCCCTGTTTGAGGGAGGGTGACCAGCTGTCCAGGGTTGTCGGCGATGAGGGTTGCCGCAGGACTCTCAGTGCTAAAACTGGACAAGCCCTGGGCAGACCAGAAAGCTGGTCACCCTCATTGTGTATTCAACATTTCCTGACCCTTGCTTGTCTCCCTTCTTGAGAAAATGAGAACAGGCCTTGGGCATGGAGCCTTTGGTAGGCAATAGCTAAGAATTTAATAACTGCTTTCATTTTATTTATTTTTATAACTCTCTATTTGTGGTAAGTGGTACTGATTTTTCCATTTAAGGTAGGGATATAAAGTTTCCCTTTTAAATAAACGTAATGACAGCGGTGGCTAACACTCACCCAGTGCTCACTGTGTGCAGGCGCTGTTCTGGTGCTTTACCTGCAGTAGCTCACTGAGTCCTGACTGCAACCCTCTGACACTGTTGTTATCCTCATTATACAGATTGGGAAACTGAGGCACAGAGTTTATAGAACTTGCCCAACAACACAAAGGTAGTATATGGCAGAGCTGGGACTTCACTCTTGGCTTTCTGGCCCATTGCTAGTTAAATTAAAGAATGTTAAGTAAATAAACATATAGGTGGAACACAGACATGGCAAAAAATCATGAGAGTGGTGTGTGAGTGACTCAAGTTTAGGAATCATTGGCTTGGAGGAGATTGAGGTTCTATGAGCTGGAGGAATCGAGGCATCAGTGAGTGCAGGGCCTGGGGGAAGCTGAGCCATCTCGGCAAAACCAAGGGCAAGTTAGGAACAGGTAGGAGAGGCTGGCAGGGACGAGACCATGTACTGCACACAGCCTGGCAGTAGGAGTGGGATGTGGTTCCCAGAGTGGCCACCTGGGGAAGGGACACACAGAGACAACAGAGAGTTCTGCTGCAGACAAGCCAGCCAGAAGGGTGTTTCCAGAGAGCCCAAGCTTCCTGGTTCATCATAAGGAGTAGAAAGCCTGAGGACGCCCTTGACTTTGCTCATACAGGTGTGGTGAAAAGGGCACTGGGCCCTGAGTCAGGAGAGGGGCTCAGGGTTGACCAGGTCTTCCTCAGGGTCACAGTGGGGAGATGGCACCTCATGCTGGAAGCAGCACAGTGCCCGGTGGGAAGCATGGACCTGGAGTGACTCTGCGGCCCCGCCCCTGACCAGCTGTGTACCTTGAGCTCCACCTAAACTCTCTGAGCCTTGGTTTCCACTTCTGTAATATAGATTGAGTCTCCCTTATCTGAAATGCTGTGACAAGAAGTGTTTCAGACTTTGGAACTTTTTGGATTTTGGAATACAGTGCATTTGCATTGTACTTACCTTGTTCAGCACCCCAAATCTGAAGTCTGAAA